GTTAGCGTACGACGAGATAGCTAGCTGAACTAAGGAGCCTAGCAAATAACGCTCTTAGTGCTTAGGCTGCTTTCGAGTGCTAGGGGGTATTGTCTATAAGTATACTATTATCGATACGATTAAGTTAACTAGATCCTTCGAATTCGACCCTTATACGCACTTTAACCGATACTAGTATATCGATAAAGCCGCGGCTCTACTACGTACTATTGTCGAGGTAGAACGAGCTATCTAAGAGCTATCTATATTACTAAACAACCGCCGTAGAAGAGGTAGAAGAGGTAGAGCGGTACCTAGAAGACATGTCTGTACTAATTAACGAGAGGCTTCTAGCTTCGAATACGTAGATTAGTTAAACCTAGCTTCTTAAAGAGGCCGTAGAAGGCGTACGAGGGCATCTATATAATAACCTCGTACTCGTACGGCAATATAATAACTACGGCCTTTAGCTCCGCTAGTCTATATACCTGCTAAGCGCTACGGCTTTGTTAGTAACGATCTAGCTAGTATTTAAAGAGCCGCTATAGCACTTAATCGACAACGTCTAATAGCGCTAGCACCGCCTTACTCGGAGCGACAGTTTGTCTAGTTCTATAGTAGTTAACCTGTACTACCGTATACTCTAGGTCTACCGGTAGCGATATAATATACTATATTCGACTATCTACTGCTATTAAACTAACAGGTATATACCTAGCAATAGTACTAGCATATACTAGGTTCTATAGCTCTACTACTATCTATAGCACTACTCCGTAGAGGTATATAGTAGCAGTAAGGTCTATAGTAGTAGTAGCTAGTGCTATACTCTCGTAGTTATTAGTATATAGGTTATAGCAATTAATTCTAGTAGTCTTATATATCTACTTAACCGATAGCCTCCGGAAATGCCTTATTCTTAGCCCTTAGCGTTACTAGTATAGAAGGGTTCCTATATACCCTTACTTAGTTACCTAATCGAGTATAAAGGGGTAGAAGTATACTGTAAATCGTCCGTACGCACTCTTATCCGTATTAAGAAGAGGGAATTGCTAAATAGCAAAGAGGGAATTGCTAACTAGCTTTTGCCTCTACTTTATAATGCCCGATATAGAATTACCCTCCGAGCTCGATTAGGCTTTCGGTAAGGCAGGCTCCGGCGTTTTATTTTATTAGCATCGAAACCTTCTTAGCAATCCTTACTAAGCACAATTGTACTATGCCTCTCCGGTAACACGAAAAGCTAAACGCTTAGCAACACCTTCTATTTTAATATTAAATATAACAACTTTAGAACGTTATAGTATAACTACTTAAGTCTATATACTCCTTATACTTTATAGGTATGTTATAAACTGCCTTATTAGTCTTCTACTGAAATATCTAAGCCTATACTAACGAGAGCGTATTGTTATTATAATCGAAATAATATAATTATTATTGTAATCGAAATAATACAAGTTAAGATTTATAAGAGCATAATCATTAGTAAGATTGTTCTTCATTTCCGCTAGCTTCTGCCCCTGCTTGTTAATAGTTATAGACTCACTTTACCTCTTAGCCTTTTAATATATCTAATAGTAGGTAAGGTCCCCTACGCCTTTATCTTATACAAAACACCTTAGTCCTTTATAAGTCTACCTTTTAGCTAACTTCTAAGGCTTAGAACAGGACTTAGCTAGTTACGATTTATTATGCTTTAGCATTAATAATAGGGTCTCGTAGCTAGAACGCTAGACTGCGAAGAAGTTTCGTCCGAGCGAAGGCGGTCTATAACGTTTCCTAGGTTTGGCGGCGACTAGCACTAGTTGCTGTTTCGGAGCTACCGGCAGGACTACCTCCGTTTAGGCCTTTATGCATTAAGGATTACGTTGCGCGGTGGTAAATTAGTCAGATTGCACGTAATAGATTTAAATAAATTAGGGCTAGCTTCCGTCTTTCCGAACAACTAATTATACACTACTCTACCTAATCCTTTGCCTAAAGGCCTAAAGCTAAACCGCTAATTTTTATCGTAGACTCCCCTATCAAACTACTATCTTGCAGCGATACTAACTATCGGCATATCTGACACGCTAAGATTGTAGCGCTGCTAATTGCGAATTAGAATATCCAAAAATCTCGTATATGCGACGTGTATACGTTAAGTTATACTAAATCCCGCGAGGCGACTTTATCTATAGCTATCCGCTGCTAGCGCACCTAATACACACCGAAACAACAACTCCTAAATCTCGCGTACCTAACACTTAGAGGTCCTTAATTAGGGCCTTCCGACTAACTCATTTACTGCAAGCAACTGCGTGCGACTTCTTACTATCGAGTTCTCGTCGAGGTAAGAGATAGAGGCCGTAACGACCTCCTTTAATCTTA